GAATTTCATTAGTTGTACCACTGCCGACAATCGAGCTTAAGGTAATATTAAGAAGAATATTAGAAGACCCTAATATATCAAGCCAAGTCGGTTGACTAAATATATCTTGTTCACTATAGTGTTTAATGTAATAAACTCGAGTCCCAAATACCCAATTCTAAACGAATAGGTCGCTTGAAGAGCTCATATATGACTCTCATATGATATATTGAAATATATGTATATGGAAGTATCATCAGTATCAGTAAACTCATAGCTGAAACGGGTATAACAATGCTCGCATACAGCACGACGAGCTCAAAGCGACACAGTCACTCACACAGCCTTACACGCACACACTTACACAGACACACTTACACATACACACATACTCACACACTCAGCTACTGCAGCTGACAGAGGCGACAGTTTGAAAGAGAGTGGTCAGAAAGAGAGGGAGGGGACAGGAAGGCGGACAGATGGGCCAGTCACTTCCGCTTGCAGGCGAGGGCTGTCCATTTTATAATACCCTTTTTTATTTGAGCTCTTTGGGCTTTTGTTGCCGGGGCAGTTGCTTGCTTTGCATTTGCATTTGAGCCCTATGCCCAGCCTCTGGCCACTGGCCAATGGCAACCAGCAGCTGAACTGCTAGCTGCAGCATAATTATGGATGACGATGAAAGGACGAAGGACTAGGTCCAGCTAGTCTGTTATGCATTCGCCGGGTCACTAATGTTGGCACATGATGATTTCTTTCGAGTGCAAACTTGGCCAAGACTGCTCAGCAATCAGTGAGTGGGGCAAGTTCCTCCGACACTCTGATCTGAACGAACTGAAGCTTTTAAGCCGCTTACCACAAACTTTTGGATAGTTTTGGCTTGTTTACTTCGTAATAGGCACTTTTGTGCACAAAGTGCTAACAATTAAACGTAAATGCTTTATACGGGGTAAATACTGAAGCTTACTCTCTGCTGCTGTTTAATCAGAAAGACAAGCGTCGGTCGATGGGCTGAAATATTTCATTTCATTTGAATATTTGCAATTGAGGAGCAGCAGCTAGCTCTCTTCAGTTCCTGCGAAGTTTTCCAAGCTTTCCACTGCATATGAGCATCTTTCAGCACATATATATGTGCATGCAATTCAATCAATTTTCTTCAAGTATGTCCTCAAAATTAAACTTTCAACTGACAGAAAATTGCACTACCGAAATTTCTCGAGAAGATTGAACGCTCGTGAATTTAAAGTTCTACAAAGCACTAAATGCGTAAAAATATAGAATATATTTGATAAGTAATGCATAAAGCATAAAATCATTCTAAAATCTTAGTAAAAAGTACTACAGCTTTATTTATATATATATAAAGGAATAGAAATATTTGTGTAAATATATATTTATTTATATAACACCAAATTTCACACAAACTCTTTATTCGATATTTTTATCCATAGTAAAAATCGCAACGCATACAAAAGGTTGACTTGTTCCTAATGACGCCGTAACCAAACTAAATGACACATAGCATTAAAAATTCACAGAATAGTGGCTGACAGTTGTGCCAGCCTTGGAAAACATTTTTTAGAAATATTCTTACGGGGAAAATTTAAAATGAGAATTTCCGGGAACTTATTTGACTGAATGTATAGCTCTAACAGTTATAAAATATATGTAGGACCTCAAGGTTTGAATTTGATTCACTTTAATGAATCCATTTTTTAAGCCCACATATAATTTATTTATTTATTTACAAGACCTCATTGTGGCCATTGTTGGCACTCTCCCATATTATAAGGGGGCCATTGCTGTCTTTCTTTAAATATAAACCCTTAATATTGTCGATCTAATTAACTTATTTGTATCGTAATTACATCCTAAAATGAAGAATTGAATTTTCAACAAATTGGCTCAATCTGCATAAGAATATTTCAAGCTGATTAGCTGAAGACGGCTTCTTCTGAATGATTTTCAAGATCTATGTGTTTGCTAATAAATTGAGTTTGTTTTGCAATCAAGCTCGTGCAGGCACACATTTGGTCCACAGTTCAAGCTCTGTCCTCCGCCTGGCCTTGGCATCTTGGGATGCGAATGCACTTCAAGGCTGCCACGGAACACGCGGAGCTCCGGTGATGACATAAAAGTAATGACATTAGGGCGCTTTTGAAGGTAACACAACCGAGGCGTCGCCCTCAAATTTCCGTAATGCAAAATAATCCGAATATTCGTCGGGGTAGGTTTTTTCGGTGGTTGCAAACGGTGTCTCGTGCTCCACTCACCCCGTGCAGTCCGTTGTGGTGAAGCAAACATTTGGCTTCAATCTGCTATAGAGCTTCATTATAAAATCGATGAGTGGGCTGAGATGTAAGCTGAGCGCTGACCTAAGGGTTAAGTCACAGAAATGCGCGTCCACTGAGACTCCGACCCGACCCTGGATTCGATTTCCTTAAAATTTAATTAGGCACAAACAAAACTTTAGGTCGTGATAGGACTTAATAGAAGTTTGCTTGGCTCGGAGCTACATTCTACTATATGTAAGTCATTAGGATTCAAGCTTGTGTCCCTTAAGCAACATGGAAAATTTAAAGCAGCTTTAATTACATGAAGTGAATTAAATTTGTTCGCAGCTGAAAACCTGTTTCAAGTCATAATTAAAGTGCAAAAGTCAGCAATGAGATGCGCCAGAAGTTTTCAAATAAAGTTACTAAGCCTGGCAAGGCAATTATATTCCACTGAAGCCCAATCTGTTTAGTTGGCTAAAGATATTTCATAGCGTCTATATCTGCACAGTCTGCCTGTCTGCCTGTCTGTCTGTCCGCCTCTTATATACCATAATGGGTTTCTAATGGGTTTCAGTCGATTCAAGTCAAAGTCTTAGGACTTTACATTTTCAATCTCGATCATTTATTTCTCCCCTCTCTTCAGCTTTCAACAAACATCATCCTAGAGATTTATCTGCTCCGGCTGAAAACCAGAAGCAACAGCTTGGCTTGAAACAAGGCGAGCGAGAATTTTTCTATTATTTTCTATTTATTATGGGTATATTGGCTTTGCTTATGTAAATGTAACAGGCAGCAGAAGATGATTCTATTGTATATGTAATATGTATTGTTCCTAGAAAGCAGACGAATCTTATGTAACTTGTACGTCAATCGATAGGCAAAATCTCATGCACTCAAATTAAATACTTGTATATTGTATATGTAATATGTATTGTTCCTAGAAAGCAGACGAATCTTATGTAACTTGTACGTCAATCGATAGGCAAAATCTCATGCACTCAAATTAAATACTTGTACTTGAATTTCATTTCAAGAAGTTACATTTGAATCTATCAGTTGCTGCTCTAGCTTTGGATTGATCATTACAAATCACAAATCATCATTACAAAATACATTTAGATACAAATTTTATGTATTCAGGGCTATAAAGGTATATGCTCTAGGATAAGGACCTACATATATGTATGTGCAGTCAGGCCGAAGGGTATCTTTTGGCTCAGCAACCGAAACTGAGCCGTTCTAATGCAGCTTGTAGTTTCGTTGCTAGGCCACAGAGACCTGATAGTCTTTCTGCCGTCCCAAACCCGAGCAGCACATGCAAAGTGCGATTCCGTCTGGTGAAATAGCTAATGTTCTCTGGCGCTCAACGTCCCTTTCCCACCTCTGTTTCTACTATTGTCCGTGGCAGCTGCATTCGGTTGGTCAGTGCAAAATTGACTGAAATTGATGATGTCACTTGATAGGGCGAATGAGTTTTTCATTTTCCATTTTTCACATTGAAGCCAGTTGTGTTTGAGGCTCCAACAGGGCTGTCGAGCCCACACCAGGCCAGCCAGGCTCTTGACCAGTCCGAACAGCTCCTCCAGCTTCACGTTCATGTTGTTTAACAAATTCATCCTGTTGCTTGCGCTTCAGTGCGTGCCTAGTGCTGGGTTGGACAGCCATCACATGGCATTGCATCCGGCAGCGCACGAGAGCCTTGCACACACACACCCACACGTGCACACATGCACGGGCACACGATAACACCCACACATATGCGCATATGCGATTTTTGGGTAGGCCATTGTTGTGCATCGACCTGTTTGATTGGCTTACTTTTTGCACGTTTTTAATTAGTGCAGGGGAGCATAGAAAAAGTAGTTCCATGTGGCGTGTGGCGTGTGGCATGTGGCGTATGGCGTGTTGAATGTGGCAACAGTGCTTTAAGTTGCTGGCGCATTAAACAACATGAAATATTTCATAAGCGCATTGCGACCCAGCCACAATGCCAGATGATTTATGCAAAGTGCTCAGACTGTGGGCATGAGCTTGAATATGAGTATTACTATGAGTATTCCATTCTCTTTGTGCGTGTGCGCCACATGGGGTGAGTGTGAATGTGTGAGTGTGTGAGTGTGACTGTGTGCACCTTTACAGGCGCCACAAACAAAAGACCAACAATCGACTTCATACGATTCCATACGACTCGTTATAGCTACAAATTTTCCAAATTTTGTAACAATAGCGCGCACACAGAATACGTGTGTGAGCTCCGTGAAGTGAAATCACTTGTGTATTGGTTTGACTTTTCCCTGTGCCAGGCTGCATCGAATCGGGCTTTGAACTAGCTACAAGCAGTCGACTGAATGGCTAAATTCTACTTTTTCGTATTACATAGTCAAAGAATATTTTTGATTCTATTTTATTTATATATGTCAATCTCATACTTTATTGTTGGCTGACTTACCTCAGAAGACATTATATTTATCGATAATCTTCAAATTCGACCTTAGTACATTACTGATAATTAGCAGAACTCATACTGGAGTATGTATATCCCGTAACTCTATATGAAAGTCCCTCTCCCTTGTAAAGAAAATTCAATCAGAGGAATCTTTGAGGTCGTCTTTAGCCTCATGCAAATAGGTTTCTTAAGGCTAAGCTACTTGGCGTCTATCTCTTGGCTTGTCACACACACACACACACACACACATGGATACACACTCGTTCAGCTATTCAGCTGCAGATGCTTTTTGTGGCACTTACCTTATTGGAATGGCCATTGAATTTCAATAGCTTCTTGCAGGACTTGCCGCGACTCTCGAAATAGATTTCCTGCGGAGTCCGTCGACGTCGCTGCGCTGCCGGCTGCGCTGTCAGCGTCTTGCGCTGCATGAACAGCGGCTCGCCTTGGCTGCACTCGGTGCCTGCCACGGACTGTGTCGCCTTGTGGCGGCTCACGCAGAACAAACGACTTAAGATGCCGCAGCAGCCGCTCGCTGCTGGCGTTTCACTCTCTGCTGCTGTCGTTGTTGCTGTCCCTGTTGTTGCATTGTTGTTGGCACAGCAGCGGGCGGATATGGTCATTAGGTTGGCATTGTGGCGTGTCTGGCGATTGACGTCCATTTCCATGGTGCGCAACAAAAAACTGTTGCCTACTTTCCTGCGCGCTGTGTTGATTTGCGAAATGTTTTTGCTTGTTTACCGTTACTGTCGTTCTTGTCGTTGTTGTTGCTGCTCCTGGTGTTTCTTTGCTGCTATTAAAGCAGAGTTTACGACAGTTTCGTTCGCTTTTTTATATGCAAATCGCCAGCCGGAAGTTTGGGATTCTTTTATTTTGTGTGTATTTATTTCTCCTTTTTTAACAGTCACTGAAAATAGCAGAGAGCTGTGGCAGGTGGTTCAATGATGCTGTTGTTGTTGGTAGTTAAGCACACAAAAGCTTGGCGCCCGCACGCACAAATTCACACTCGCAAACGCTCGAACGGACACACACACACCCTCATACGCATACGCTTTCACTTACGCTCTCTCACACACAGACAGCCGCATAGTTCAGGTGAGAGATATGAGCAGCCGCGATGCTTACGAGCCGAGGGCAGCCAGCCAACTGATAGCAAGGCGCCGTGCTTGTGCTTGGGCTGTCGAGGTGGTGCAGCGTTGCCAGACCGCGGAGAGAGCAGCTGACTGCGGGCATTGCGCATGTCGGGCGCACAGTGAGTGCTAAAAAGCTGTCACCTGCCGTGCGCCCTTGGCAGCTGCTTGTGAATGAACCAAAGATTTTTGCCTGTTTACGTTGGCTGGTTCTGCATCGACTGCTGCGGCTGCTGTTGTGATTTCTGTTGCGAGGCGTGGCAAGGGGCATGTTACGTCGTTACGTTGAGCGGGTAGTAGTTCAAAGTTGTAGCGCGTTTTGCTTTATGTGTGTAATTGTTTGGCGGCAGTCGAGCGGCGCCTCGTGCTATGCAGCAGTCTTTTAAAATACCCTGTAATAATGAAGCTGTCGAGAAGGGGCGGGAATCGATTCGAGTTTACAAGACTCTGACAATAAGTCATGACAAATTCTGATAAAAAGAGATAACAAATACTGAAGATAGGGTATACAAATATGCATAAAGGAAAGGAAACTAAAAAACGGTTGTAGACTTTCCAGCAACCGTTAATGGTTTAACTAAGAAGCGAAAAATTTCGAAATATTATATAAGAGAAGAAAACCAACTCCCAATGATAGCACCAAATTCATAACAACTTTAAAAGCGGAGGTAAGGCGGAAGCCTTGGAACCGATGAAACAGAGACACATCAGGGTGACGAGCTGAGTTGATTTAGCACTGTCCGTCTATCTGTCTGTCCGTCCGCACGCCCGTATGTAATGTAATGAACGCGTCGATCGCTGAAGATATAAGAGCAATAGACGTGACATTTTTTCCTGGGTCCGTGTATATCACGCGTTATTCACCCTAAACTCCCGATATTTGTTTCGTTATCGATTAAATACCTTATCGAAAACTTGTTATTTAATTATATCTACACCTTTAGAGCTACAGTCTCCAAGCTTTAAACCACCCCCTCTACACCCAGCCCCTATATTCACCCCCTCACCTTTGTAAAAGGCGCATTTCAAATAGTAAAGACTTGCGCTTTGGCACATGCATAGTCGATCGACAAGAAAAGTTATTAAACAATTAAGTTCCCATAGTAAGCGTGTTTATGCGTGCATGTCTATGCTAGTCTGTGTGTGTGTTTCTTGTGTAAGCAGAAAGATGCAAATAATTATTGAAATAACAATTCTTAAAAGGGTTTAGGAGATTTCTTAGTCGAGCAGTCTCAACTAGAGCTTTCTTACTTGTTTATTTTTGATTTGAATTAACATTATTTAAGATTTAATTTAAATTCAAATTAATTTAAATTCTTAATAACATTCAGTTTAGTTCACCTATATGGAGTAATTTATCTTATAAATTTCAAAGATTTTTTTACATCCTACTACAGGGTATTTGTAAGTCTTGCAGTTTTCGCAACTTAAATTAAAACTTTTGCTGTTTTTGCAGTGTTTTAGTGGAAGGTTACTGACATCTCATCAGTTGAGTGTAGATATCTATGAGTGTGTGTGTGTGTGTGCAGCTGTAATTGTTTGTTTTGCGCTAGTGTGTGTGTGTGTGTGTGTGTGTGTGAGTGCTGTATCTCGGCTCTGTACGTAATTTCAATGTTTCAACATAATCTTTGATTTGATTATGTTGTTGAGCTGGCTCCACTGTGTGCACAAAACGTGCTGAGATGTCCTTTTCTAGTTCCCTGGTGAGTGTGTGAGTGAGTGTGTGTGTGCGTGAGTTTGTGTGTGTGGGTGATTGTCTCGGCCACTTCCGGCTGGAGCTATAAACGGATTATAAAGTAATTTAATGCTTTTTGTTGTCTGCACGATAAGATAGTCGCCAAGGGTGCCAGGGCATGTCCATTAACTGAGACAGAGTGAGATGGCAAGAGTAAGGCGAGCGAGAGGCAGCAAAAAAGTGGGAGCTTCGGCAATAAAAACTTTTAATGTTGTTTGCTGGAATATCTCTGAGCATTAGATCGCATCACGCATACGCACGGCTGTGCCGCCAAATTTGTTGGTCAGACCCATTTAATGAGTTTGAGCTATGACTGTTGCTGTGGCTGCTACTGTTGTTGTTGGTGTTGTTTTAGTTTTTGCTGTAGTTTTTGTTGCCCACTAATATTTCTGTGCGTAATTAATGTCCAACAGTTTGGCAGCTGTTTGTCTTGCTGCTGCTGCTAGTTTCCACTTCCTGCTCGTTTCGTTAGGTTCGTTTGGTCATTTCGGCAACATGTTTATCTGCCTCAATGCGCAAATACATATGTATGCTGTATACTCGTATATTTATGTTCGACCCACACACACGCATTTAGCTAGATTGTCACATTAATTTTGTACGTTAAGCTGTCAACGTGGTCAATATTTTTGTATGTTATTCGTGACTTGAACGGTGGGCAGTCCGGCAGCTCGGCAGTCTGGCAATCCGATAGAACCGACAGTCCGACAGTCCTTTATTTATTTATTTTTGTTCTTTTTTCACGCACGTTTTTGCTCGCCTGTCGATTTCTTGGGTCCAGAAATATTTGCGGCCGTTCCTCCTGCTTTCAGCAGGATAGCCCCAGAGATAAGTTCGTCCAAGGTTATCTTTATACCTAGGCTTTGCCATGTTTGTGCACTTCCGTTCATCTACCTCTTGTAGCTGTTTGCTCGACCTCTGGTTTCCACCCAGCCCATGGGTGCTAAATTAAATGAAGTGCCGAACATTTCACATTCAGACAATTGCGTTCTAGACCCTGGGCAGAGGAGCAGACGAATGCATTCTCAAATGAAGACCTAAGCACTTCTTCTTCCTGAAATTAGTTGAAGTGAATTTTCTACTACTCAGCAGCATTTGCGGAGGTGAGAATGGAGATTTATTTCCAGATCTCAATATTAATACAAATGTGGTTAAAATATTAATTAATAATAATTTGAGGTAGATATTATTGTGCTGTTCATTGCAGAGACTGCAGTTGAGCAACTAACCAAAGGCTAACCTAAATAGAATTTAACTCTAGTTACATTTCTGAGCGTTGAATGTAGAAATTATTTACATATATACATATTTTATTTACTGCACATTTTCATTCACCAAGCTATAAATACACTCAGGTGATATATGTTTGAGTTTGAATTCAATACTGTAATTGTCTCCTTCTATCTAATAACCTGTCTCCTAGTCAATTGAGCTGGTCTATGAAATGATAAGGTTCTCATCTGGCTGCGAGCGTTGGGTATTAAAAATCCGCATCAACACTAGTGGCCTTTCACGAGATTATCTTAGCATAGAAAATCGATTTAGGTAGAAGGGCTTCTGGTATTTCAAATGCAGCATGTATTCAGAATTCGAAGTCTCTATGTTCAATAGAGGCGAGATGGTAACACGGACAGATAGCAACCTATAAATCTACTTGAATTTGCGAATGAGTATGCAATGGTTAGGCGTTCATTTCGTTCTTTTACTGCTCGAAGTTTATGATCTGGTGAAAGTGTACACTTTCGACTGCATCGTCGACCGTAGAATTGCGATAACTATTTATCCCCAGTTCTAGAGGTGAGACTTGGAGTTCTTATGAGCTACTTTCTCTACTATTTCATTTTTGATAAGTCATCAATTTCCCCTCACTTTTGCCATTAGCACAAAAGAAGAAGAATATTGACTGCGAAGTTATTTCGTTAAACGTACAAATGATAAAATAATTTCTGTCACTAATATTGGTTCATGCTCTTAGCCCGATGTGTTCCATATATAAGTTTTTTACTCGATACTTTTAACTCGTTCATCGCACATAGTCACGCATAGAACGCACTTGATATAGATGAGTTTGTGTGTGTGTGAGTGTGGGTGTGTAAGTGTGGAGACGGAATGCCAAATTCGCTTCAAATGCCGTACAGGACTCAGCTTTTTCATAAAGCAGCTACAAGCGGCTCTCCGCGTCCCGGCTCTCCCACTACCGAGCTCTACCTCCAGCTCCCCACTTTCCCCAATCTCTCTTGCGCCCCCTCATCCACTATCAGTCTCAATTACGCAGCATTTTTGTATGTGTCGAACGCTGTTAGCAATGAAAACTCTGCAACTGTAGCCGAAACTGAAAAGTTCCATTGCATTTACCAGCACAAAAAAAAAAACCCAAAACTGTTGCCTAATTGCAAAAATGCTGCCGGGCAAACATACGAGCACTCGCACACACACACATACGGCACAGCCCAACTTTGCACTGGGAAAAGAAAAGTACGCTAAAAGCTTAAACAAAACCTCAATAAAGCCGTTGGCCGTTGCCAGAATGGATGGTGGTGGGGGGGGAGGTGGGAGGTGGGAGGTAGGAGGTGGCTAGCAGGAGGCGAGGTTGGAGGTCGTTACAAACTATTGAAGCGGCAAATGGCAAACGGAAAAGTTTGCGGCGCAGGCGCAGCACCCCTGACCATATTGCCAGCAGCTAAGGGAGCAACAGCAACAATAACAACAACGACGTCATGTAAATGACGCTTTTATGTTGCAATCACGCGTTCTCATCTCCAGTATGTATATAAGTCTCTCTTTTTTTTTTTTTTTTTTTGCCCAAACTCTTGGTTTTTGTTTTATATGCAATGAAATTTTATGATTACTGCCGAAAAAAGACAAAAGACAAAAAATTTGCCCACAAAAGTTTTTTGCCAACCACGGGTTATGCACTTGGCCAAATGTCGCGCTTTGATGCCTTCGTTACTCTTGTTGCAATTGTTGCTGTTGCCTCTGCAGCAGTTGCTACTGATGCTGTCAGCTGTGTCGCGTCATGACAGGATCAGCGTGGCGTGGCACTAGCTCTGACGTCTCTGAAATCTTGTGAAATTTATGCAAATGCGCGGAATTTGTATGAAAATTGTTTTATTTTAAGTAACACGCACTACACTCGCCCAGTCACACGTACTTAATGCACGCGCGTGTCATTCTCTTGTGCTTAAGAAAAAATTACTCATACCACGCGTTGGCCGGCGCTGCCTCTGCTGTCTCTCGGTTAGTGCTTTATGCAAATTCGCTGCTCTGCGCAACAATGTTA